GCTTTGCTACCGACATGCTAATATGTTGCTGTCAAAACTGAGATTACCCTTAACCTATGTAGAATTTTATTTTATTGTTAATTTACTAACTGGATGCAATACTGTAGTTAAATGCTGAGAATTTCATTCTGTATCGCAAGTACTCTTTTGGAATATAGCTACTATCATTATCATTATTAAAACTGTCCTCTTATTCTTTCCTGCCTATTGTATGGTAGGTTGTGTGTAACTGCATGTAGTGAGTGCTTGCGATAGCCGCTGAACTATTCTCTAAATTTCTTATCTTATTCGAGTCAAGTAATCTTCATTTTGCCAATACTTTGACCGATGTATTTGACCTGAAAATCATTCCAGCAGGCAGGGTATTAGATAAACTAAAATGTCTTATTTTAAAGGCTCCACAGGACTGATTTATGCTTTAACCGGCAAAGCTTGTTTCTAATTGAGTTTGTGGTTGGTTTGAATTCCAGTTACTTTTATTCCTGCCCGCCTTGTTAAGAATTCTGCGTAAGGTGGTTTCGGAGCTTCCTTCCTTGTATGGAAGTACAACTGATGGTTTACATTCCTTATTGTTGGTGTCGTCATTAATAATAATATTATTATCACTATTTATTTTATTTTCACATTTTCCTACATACTCTCTGACTAATTTATCAGTATAATTATTCGGTTTCAAGGCTTCTCTTATATGTATCACTTCCTGTCTTAAATTTTCCTTGGTACTACTTGTAGATTTTGGGCTTTGTCACTTAAACATTTCACCAATCTTATTTTCATCGACATAGGATGGGTGGGTTAATCGGGAGTCCAAATATCTATTTGAATGTGTGGGTTTCCTGTAAACACACTAGCGTATTTAACTTCTCATCTTCTTTCCTTTTTACACTGCAATCTAACATTGGAAGCTCCCCCGTTTCCTGACTTTCCAATTCATCATAAGTGAATTGAATTGCCTCCACCTTTGAGTTAATGTGTTCGAAAAATCTTTCTATATCCTGTGTTCTAAGTACAGTGAATATGTCGTCTACCTCATCTCCACCATACTGTCGGGGTGGCATGGGGCAGAACGCTTCAATCGCTATGTTTTCCCTCCTATCCATGAATATATCTGCTACAACCAGGGATATTGATGATCCGATGACAATTCCTTCAGTTTGTTTGTATATTTTCCCTTGTTATTTAAATACTGTGGAAGTCAGGTATTATGTCTTCAAGTGGAATTACTTTCTATTAAAGTGCCAAAGTTTTACGCATATATTAATAAGACATCAAGTAATGTTAGGAGTAAAATGTTCACATTATCCCAGTTGAAAACAAGGGAGACGAATCTTGAAATATTACAGATTTGTACTCCAAAACTGACGATTTAGAAATCGTTGTGTTCTCTTAGTTGAGCTAGGGGTGGTTTAATTGTACAGCTTTCATTGTCTTTGCTAGACACAACACTTTCCATGACAAACTTGAATACGAATCCTTCTTGTGTTGATAATATATATAATCGACAGAGATCTGACTAAAATAGTGTCTAAAGTTCCAGGTTTAATAAACATGTCTAGGACCAAGTGATACTCAGGCGTAACAATGTTAAGCGATATAAAAGTGGATTGAAAGACCGTTAAGAGTGCTTAGATCAAAAGATGGCGTCAATCCATGAAGTTTTTCTGTATTGGTTCGATCGGTATGATGAAGACGGTCTTGTTGGAGACCACAAGAAGTTAAGATATTTAGTGGCATGACTCAAAATGTCTCTCTCAATGACATATGTATTCATGCTTAGTAATCTGCTAGATTCATAAAATGCTAATAGTTCTCCCTATATATATATATATATATATATATATATATATATATATATATATATATATATATATATATATATATCGTCTGTGACCATTTCATTTTGATGAACCTGTCTCCTTTAACAATGTATATTCCCCTTATATTATATATAATATGAGTGTTTGTTTGACAGTCTGATGTATTTTGCTATGTATATATGGATCGATATTCCATTATAATTAGCCAATCATGTTAAGACTGTCTATTGATTTGTTCATTTTGAATATTCGCCCTCACCTTGTGTTCACACACTTGTTTGGACATTCATATATATTTTTGCTCTCACACTATTGTGTGATACAATTGATTCTCCTGGTGTTTTGGAAAATAGAAGTATCATCGCAAACCTAGTGGTCTTCTGATTTCCGTCTTTCTTGCGTCAGGACTATTAAATTCTCGACCAGTACATAACATTAATTTGGTGACGAGTACATAACAATATGAACTCGAATTCTGTTGTTGCTACATAGATGATACATTTTTCATTATGAAAAATGAGAAGGAGGAGGACAAAGAACACCCCAGAACATCCTGGATAAATTTAACGAGATTCATCTTGCTATAAATTTTACCATCGACAAAGAAAAATACTCTAGTGTTTCATTTCTAGACGTCCTTATGAACAGAAAAGAGGATGTCACAATAACAAGAAGTGTATATAGAAAACCTACATCAACTGTCTGTTAGTATACTAATTTTCTCAGCCTCGTGGCCTTGAAATACATACGCAATCTGATAAAGTGCTTGGTCAACTACAGAGCAAGAGCAATCTGCTCGGATGAGTGTCTTGATGAGGAAATTGATAATATTAAACGGTTGGTTGATGACTGAAAATGGTTATCCAGAAAAGTTTATTGATAAGAATATGAATCTAAAATCAAAGCATCCCAAGGTACCAAGAGTTCCGAGGCAAAGCAAGGCCTTATTCTTACAAATGCAGTCAGTTCTTTGGGGACAACATCAGCGAGATACTAACACAGCGCCTTAGAAATGAGACGGTAAAAAGAGCATACAGTGCTGCTTCCAAATTACGCTGCGTCTTCAAAACCACCCATTCCTCGTTTGCGTTCGTTCGGCAGTAAAAGACAAACTGCCTAATTCCACCTGTTCCATGTGTGTGTATCTTCCAATTGAACTGCTCCTGTGCAGTGAGCCAGTCAGTTCCTCACATAGGCCGTACATCACCTCACCCTGCACAGTGGTTCGTTGCTGAAGTAAAGGACAAACAAAATCTATACCCAGCGCTATTCTATCTATCTCACTCATCTTCTTGTGGATACAAAACACAAGACTGATTGTTGTTAACCAAGCGGCTTTCAAGGTAATTCACCCCAGACCAACCAACAAATCTCAATTTCGCCTTAAGAGTTCGACTACTAAAAATATTGCTGAGGCTGGTCGTTGGGATCCCGATTAACAAGCCTAATATGTGCATTCAAAAGGACTTGGATGGTTCAGACATTATCCTTACCCTCTTGGCCATCTAGATTTGAATGGTACCGAATTTGTTGTGGAATTTTCCTAATTTTAGTTGATATTCTATTTGTTAGTATATCTTCATTATTATTATAATTTAGGCATCTTTAATGAACTACGGTGGTGATTCCATTGTGATCTTACTTTACAAATCGATATTATAATTTTAAAAGCACACTAATATTGGTATTGACTACTACTAATCTAGAATATTCTATGTATATATAAACATATGCATATATAGATATAATTGTAGGGCAAGAAGGGGAGGAGGAATTTATCAACAAGGATATTCTTTGCTGACTCATTCTGGACTAATGTTACTTTTAATTCCTGCCAATTAGTCCTTATGATTGTAGAAAAGTTGTAATCAGTTGAGAAGAATCCTCGAAATAATAAAAGATCAGCTCATATTATCCTGGTACAACCGTTGTTCTTGCTTTGTTCAAGTTTATTAATGCGAAGAATTGCATAAAGTATATTTTGTATTTTATCAACTGCTTATCATCAACTTCAATCGGTCATTACAATTAAGGCAGAACCGGAACAAAACATTTTCAATCCTAGTGAACTTATCTCCTCTTCACTGGGATAACTACACAAAATTACAGAGAGACCGCGTTGTCGTTAGGCGATAGAAATGCAGATCACGTGCGTGGCGTTCAAAAAGATAAGAACTAAAAGAATGAATAGTGAATAGTAACCATTCAAAGCATAATAATATATATTCGATCAGAGAATGCTTTTTATCGAATTAGTGATTACGCCGTACAACCACCAAACAAGCAATCCACTGTGATTTGTTTTACATTTGTGACTTCAGATCTTACATACTTGTTGATGAACCTTTAAGGATACCCATCGCTCTTGAATATCTCTTCAAGGAACTCAAACTCCTCCCCTAGTTTCTCTATAGAGCATATTCACCTCGCTCTATAGTACAGAGTCTTGACTAGACAAAGTTTAAAGCTATTTGGACAAAAGCTATTAAAATGCTTCCCTGTAGGCTTTCGAAAATTGACTTTTGAAGACTACCATCTTCTGAGAGTTCCATGGCGATGCCGAGGAAGTGAAACTTTCCGTCACTTTCATGTCCCATAGTGAACTCAATATTGGCGTGTGCATCATTGAATAATGTTATGAGAGATGGGGGCAATTTGCAAGTACGTAGTCCAGTGATGCATATATATATATATGTTATTGTTACTCTATGCATATATTGATCGATTAATTTTTGTTTAAAATGAACTCTGTGCAAGTATGTTAAAATTGTTTTTGTAGATATATTTAATAATGTCTTTGCCATGTAAGCACCTGACGAGAAGGCAATGAAATAAAAGATGGTACCATTCTATTCTGCTAAAACTGTAGTTCTTGTTATGTATTATTATTCTGTATATGAAATTAATTATTTTGCCACTTGACATTTAACTATGATTATAATCACAAATATTTTAATTGCATTTCATACTACTACTACTATTATTATTATTATTTCATGTATTCGCAGCTTTGATCTAATTCCCTTCCTCACGGGATATAATTTCTTAAAAGAAACCATATATATACGATTGTAAATCTTGATGATAAATTCGTTGTTGAAAAGAGTCTCTTCGCTGATTACCTTGTGTTCTTAATGCTACAAAAATGGGAATTATTAAATTATTGACAAAAGATACGACAATCCTCATTGAATTCTTTGTATTTGATTAGTATCGATAAAAGTACAGACATTCGCATAGAAATGATAGGCATGGCATGGTTCTTTTCCATCAGCTCAGATCTCAAGAACGTCTATATATATGTACATCCGCAAACACACAGATACGTCATATAAAAATTTTCTAAGCAATAACAGGTCTAGATAAAATCAAGTTTCAACTACTTCACACGCACATACACACAAACACACGCATTATATAGGTATTTACAAAACGGCACATTTAATTAGAAATATATCTAAAAAGAGACTGATAGATAGATAGGAGGACAGCGGGGGCATACAAAGAAATATATATATATTTATCGTCCAGCAAATCTTTGAGAAAAATTTCCTTGCCCAAATGGGACACCGCCAGCACCAACCCCACCTGGAGGTAGTGGTGGATACATTGGTCGGTTATTAAAAGCATTTAGTCGCGGTGAATTGACTGGAAAAGCATAAGGTGAACATGGTGGCATCATTTGTTGTGGTTGCTGTTGCTGTAGTTGTAAAGACGACACATGAGGCGTGGACCATTGTTGGAAATGCATGGCTCCTGTGTTGTCGTTATTCGTTATCTGAGGCATTCTACCACCACAAGCACCACCGGGCCTGGCTCCTACGCCTGCGGCTGATAGTGCACCTCTTAATGGATTGAAACCAGACTCCATTGGTAGTCCTGCACGTGGTTGTTGTTGTTGTTGCCGTTGTTGAGGGAGACATAATGAAGGAGGAAAGGGAAATGTGGGCAGAGATGAACAAGCCGCCATGTATGTAGAATTCCCAGACATTGGTATATTGTAAGCGTTTGATGATGACGCTAGATGATTTGGATTTGTCTGAATACGAGGTAGTAGATTTGACTGAACCAATGGTCCTAAAATAAGGGAAAAAAGTAAAGGAGTAAATGACGTTTGGCAATGCATAAATGCCTCACTTACACTGACTCCGCCGAATAAGATAAGAAATCTAGAGAATAGTTCAGTAACTATTGCAAGCACTATATGACACGGAATTACACACAACCTACCATACAATAGACTGGATGGGATAAGATGACAGTTTTAAAATCTAATACAACTAACAGGATGGAGGAAATGAGAGATTGAAAACAGAAGATTTGTTTATCGAATCAACTGCAAATCAACACGTGTAGTAGGAATGATTCATCACCTGTCCACCTCAGATATCTGGAAAATTGTACTACCCCAATGACGACGACAAATAGGAGAGAACAAAGAAGACTGACTGACTTCACATTGGAGTTGAAATCCCACACCTTATTTTCATTTTCATGCTGGGTAGAGCTGTTGACCTCTACACAGACTTGAGATTAATGAAAGCTTCCCTTGCTTTCCAGATTCTTGCTTTGATATCCCCGATGGTACAACACTTAGACACTCCTAATTTCTAAAAACTTTCTTTTCTCCGAATAGTTTACCTTCTGAGATATATAATAGACATATCGTTCATTCTGATTTCACACACACACACACATGTAATCTGACAATAATCGCTAATTCATACCAATGGTTAATAAATCAAGTCAGTAACTATAGAAGTGAAAAAGATGATTTCCAGTCAACAGAAACAAGGTAATCCGACTCTGATGAACAATGAATTTCCGCTCTTTTGTTTTTCATTGGACACTAGCCAGTAACTAGTGTGACATGTCTGGCTAGTCCTTTCTTTGGTGCAGACTGAATTCTATCAGTCAGTCAGTCTGGCTTGCAATGTGACCACCATGCCATTAGGTAGCTCGCCTTCACGGTGCACACATTGATTTGATGATATTAGATGGTTGGAGGCAATCGGCCAGAGGAAGCCTTACCCGGACCTAGATTTCGTGCAGTCAGTCAGGTCCAAGACTTTGTGCGACCGATTGCCTCGAACCATCTAATATAATTAAATCAATGTGCACTGTGATGGTGAGCTACCTAGTGACAAGGTGGCCACATTGCAAAACCTGACTGACTGATAGAATTCAGTCTATACAAAGAAAGGACTAGACACATCACAGAAGTTACTAGTGTCTAAACAAAATACCCAATACAATCCGACAGGTCAGTCGCTAGCTCAGTGGCAACGTCTCTGACTACAGGCGGCACTAGGTGACACCGATTCGAATCTCAGAAGGGACATAAGTCCCTTCAATGTGGTTGCAGATATGCCTTACTGACTAGTGAGTGCCAACTGGCACAAAACCTAGGTCCGGATATGACTCGTGAAACTCGTGATTCACAACAGACAACTCACTCAGTGAAGCATCTGAATTGAAGATACGAGTAAGACAAGGTTGTATACCCGTCACCATTGATATTCTTGATTCTAATGAGGTGGATCCTGCGACAGGCCATGAGCAGTGACAACACAGGCATACATCGCACCGAGTAGAGTTAACACTGAAATATTTGAACTTGGCGCACGATTAGCGTTCAGTGTCAGACAAACTCAACAATCCACACAGGTGGTAATCAACAAGTTGGCACAAGACGCAGTTAATAAAGCACTTCTAGTTAACGAGCTAGAAACCTAACGAACCCGCTTCACTTATTTGGGAAGTACCATCAACCGGTGCCAACTGGTTGATCTCTGACGAAATTTCAGCTGAGTACGGATACAGAGGTCTAGTTTCACATATGCCAGTTTACACCATCTCTGACTCAGAAAACGTGATATCCGGCTGACTGTCCATCGACCAAAGGGTGGGTGTACTGCTCATTAACCTGCTCCGTCCTCCTTTATGGCCAGCAAGCTGTGAGACCTGGCCATTGAGAGTGAAAGGCAGGCTAGCTTCCTTCGATCATAGGTGTCTGCGTTCCATCTCTCGTGTGAAGTGGTATAATAAGGTGAGCAATATTGAGGTGAGGCATTGGTCGAGTGCTAGGTAAGTAGGAGGAACAATCAATCGACGAGACTGTGAAATTACATCAACTTAGATAGTTAGGACATGTGTTACGTATGCAAGCCTAATCATCGCCTTCCTCGACAATGAGCACTGTTAGCTGACATACGATTGGTCAGGCTAGCGGCGGTCAAACCAAAACATGGCTTCAACAGTCAATGAAATCTTCAACAGTTAGTTTAAGCCAGCCAGGCACGTAGGAAGGTGTAGACTGGCTTCCTGGTTGGGGTTCTCGGGATGGTAAAAACCAATGAGGGCTGGGAACAATTGGTGATATGGCTGAAAGTGATAGTTCTCCAAGACTGACGCAGATATATCCACTCCTCTTGATTTATAATTTCCAATGAAACTATATTGTTCTTCGTTCGCTATTACTATTCCTTTGTCTCACACCTTTGTTTACTGTCTCTCTATAATCCATTTCATTTTTACTTTCTTCTCTTGGTTTGTGTGGTACATGGAGGGAGTGTGGCGACTTGAACTGGTGAACATCGGTGCAAAATTCTATGCCGAAAATAGACAGACACACAGACTTCGAGTTAACCAACAGAAGATACCTTAGTGATGAAGACACATTGAGTCCACATCGCGACAACAAGCAGCAATCACCACCAACGCGGGAAATTTCAGGCTTCACTTATCTAGGAAGCAAATGTTTCAACAACTGCAGGTTGGAGAGATGACGAGATGTCAAAAGTGGGATCGAGAAAGCCAGACGGGCTTTCACATTTCTGTGAAATCTGTGTGGAAATCTGCTACACTCTCAGCATGAAGAACAACCTTCGGATTTTTAGCACAATAATATCACACACACACATCACATGGTTCAGTGCGCGTCTTGGTGTGTCTCTGGTAGTGATGCAGTGGAACACCCAGCTGGGGTGCACTTAGGTCTACGCGGTTAGTTTGTGAAAGACAAATTGTACTACTAACTTGTTGTATTACTAACTACGGAAGAAAACCACACGTGGAAGAAGCAGCTCGGATGTTATCGGTATATTGAAATCCTCACAATTTGATATTTTCAGAACCTCTTTAATACAACAAACAAACCAGATGATAGCATAAAAAAAATTTGCACAGAGAAAGTACTTGGACAGGACAATGTTATACACATTTTCACAGCTTCGTTTCTATCAAGTACAAAAAAAATTTAGTAAAAACCCTTCTCAGCTACAGAGTTAGTTAGTTGGAACTATATGCTCAGAAGACGTAATGGAATATGAATTAAGTATTGTATATGATACTTTGACTGATCGAAAATAGCTATCCCGACAAATTTATCAAGAAACACATGACGAAGAAAGCGGCGGAAAAGGACTACTCACTATCCATCAGTAAACAAGAAGCCACTTTATATACGACTACAATATTCAAGGGCGATCGATATACCAAGTGAGATAATTACGAGGAAATTAAGAAAATCAGTTCAAAGAACTTTTAATGCCGAAGATCTACACGTCTTATTATCTACACGACCGATGGTGTTTCCTCGACTGAAAGTTGAGGTACCTAGTCTAGACTAGCTGGCAACTTCAAATTGTATCTACCAATTCAACTGCAACTGCGCTTGTGGTGAAGTGAGTTATATCGGCCGTTGTTTCTCTAGGAACTTGATTATTGGTGGTCGCTCGCTCGAGAACATCTCCCAGTATGGCTGAGTAAAGGTGTGTAGCTAAAACCATCATGACTAGTTCGATATTGGACCATCTGGTGCAAACCGGCCGGCCAAAAAGCCAGCCTATCATCATCTACCGGGTGTCTAATAAATTGACGAAATCATCATCGAATCACCGCATGCCCCAAACACCAGAGGCTATTGTAATCCGCCTTAAACAACCAGTGAGTGCTCTGTGTGTGGAGAAGAAGCAAGTCCAGCTAGCTAGCCAGCCCCTACTACAGCCTTGGCCGACCTCCAGTGGGTGAAGACTACAAATTCATGAATTTGTAACATTATCTTTCCTAATTTCTCTGTCTGACATTCAGTGTGTAGTGTTATATTGATGCTATTGAACTGTAATCCACTGTTATTATTATTAATATTGATTCGGTGTCATTTAAACAGCAATATTATATGTTGTTGTTGTTCGTAACACTAATTCATTCATTCATTCACTGACTATAATGGATGGATATATCACTAACTGTAGAGCCAGATGATGATGGGGAGGAAGGGGTTATCGAAATGAGAATTTATTCTTTGTTCAGTATCTATCCATTCTTTTGAAAACACTTTTAATGGGCATCGTCACTCAATGGGCTCATGTGGAGCCAGGTATGTCGAACGTACACAACCAGCGTTCGCTTTCCAAACGTATCACCGAACACTTACCAACATGGTTTTACAAAGGAGAAAAACGATGCCCCCATGAAGCTCCATCTTAGAACATCTAATAAAATCCGGACACTAAGCTGCACACCCCAAACAAACTTCAAAGTCGTCTACAGAGTAAAAAGCAGTCTTCCTAAAGGGGTGTACGAATCAGACTTCTTCAAACTGCAGAAGCAATGGTGATTCACTTGCTAAGCCATGAACTCTGCATATAGAAGAAGTTCGTTCAATCACTACATTCGCAATGGAGGTAATCTATCTTATTACCCGACAAGTAAATTCTACCTAATCCTTTTCTCTCTTCTGTCTCTTCATTAGTAGTATTTTGTCCTCTCAATTGTAATATTTTACATTTTTAACTTTTTTTTTCTCTAACCCCACCCAATTTAATTTCTGCATCTCACTACCACATGGTTACTGACTTGACCGACGCTCAATTTCTAGTCACTTATGTTACGTCATCCAACTTATTTACTCCATTTTTAGTTCTAATTTAAATGGCATTATTCTCTACCCCACCTATCTCTACTTAGTCTCTACCTTTAATTACCTCTGTTGCTACCCTGACCTAAGTTGAAACATTTCAGTCAATTATATTACGTCGTCATCTAACTTACTAATTCAATCTTACTTTAGTTGCTGTCCAAATAACCTTGTTTCTATATTAGATCATTTTATTATTATCTGATCAATTATCTAAACTTGACAAATCTCATGTACACACACACACACACACATAAATAATTGTATATAAATGCGACTGTATCGCTAGTTATGTGAATGAATGCGAAAAGAGTCTTTTAGCTGAACGTCTTCTCTTTTTCATATGAATCAGTTGAAACACAACACACAACAAAAATCAATAACTTACCACTGGTATGCGGATTTGTGCAGGATGGTTCTTGTGGCCATGAAGGGTGTGGTGGCAGCATTCTCATAGGTCGGGGTATGACTGATTGCATATTGTTAGGGTGTTGTGGAAAGCACATGTTAACAGGGAAGCAATTTTGTTGATTTGCCATAGTTGGATAAGGTTGTTGTTGTTGTTGCTGTTGAGGGAGATTCTGATTAGCTGTAAAAGAAACATGATGAAACACAGAGATAAAATCGACAAAGACTCAATTTACTAGACAAAATGTAAAAAAAATATAAAGGTTAAAGAAATAAGAACATCAAACTTGTTTATAGAGAAAAGAACTGTCACTACATGTAAGATATAGTCAGTCAAAAAGTAAGTCAACACATATTCTCAACTGGGACGTACATAACAAAGTGTAACTGCGTTGATCAGTCCCATAACAACTTTTTGTATCACTTAGACAATAAATATTTACCTCTTCCACAAACTCATCAAACTATTTAATTGAATTTTAGATTTTCCCGTCTGTCTATTGATTGATTGATTGAACCGAAGTGCTCGGTCATAGGTTGACATGTCTGTTGGCTTCTTGTGCAGATGCTTCGACAATGTCTAGGCATGTTAATTGGAATTTAATTGGTGTATTGTGACTAGCAGGGGGCATCCAGTCCAGGATAACCGGCATTTCGTCCTACTTGGGACTGGTCAGTCGGCTAGAGGATGTACTTGCATTCTCCAGTGAGTCAGTGATGAAGTCCCCAACGAGGCTCGAACCCAGTGCCCATAGTTTCAAACACCAGTCAAACCGCTATCCACTAGACCACTTGGTCCACGAGAACCTATGTAGTAATCTCTCTGAATTCTCTATATTCAGTGAATTAATTTACTGTTTTTTTCTACTACAGCTTCGGCTATAGCGCTCAGTGCGACACCGACACCAGATACGCCGACTGCCGACGCCACCGGGTCCCCAGACAAGCGAAGGTGGCATATACTATTCGAACTTTCAGATAGAGAGGATGATCAAAGCACTTTATTGAGATCTTAAATGCATGTCTCCGAAATGCAGCAGACATCGTTAGCGAACCTTTCGAATGTTATTGCTCAACCTCCCTGTTGTCCAATTTGCATCAATATCTGAACATTTCAGGAGTGACCAGCTTGAACGCGATACGCTGTTTCAGGATATCTGTGTTAGCTGTCGCAATGACGACAATCATTTCGAAGGTTACTCACTGACATCTTGAAACGACACAGATCAGCTGAGAATTCAGACACAGGTGGAAAAGCTAACGGAAATGAAGACGCCAAGGATAGCAAAAGTAAAACACAAAAGCTTATGTATAAAAAAGAGTTAACGAAAAATGCATCACACTTGAAATATCATAAAATGTTCAAGAGCATTGTAATCGGTATGAGAATAGTTTTGCCGGTAGTTCGTTAGTTGATCCCATTGATTGTATGAGCGCTGAGATAATCCCCGGGCGCCCAGACCGAAGCAGATGGTTGTCTTAAGGGACTATACCCCAGCCCGAGCCTTTGACTTGGAGTCTATTCCGCAAAACAGAGGAGCAGCGTCCGGAGTTGGAATCCCATGGTCGGCGGCGACCCATATGGGTTCATACGCCATTTGATCCGATTGGATTCTGGAGCCCAAGTACCCCATAGTAACTGCTTTTAGTTTAACCACTATCCAGACAACTATCCTGAAATGTCAGGACCTGCAAAAACATAAGTTCCAGTCAGTTTAGCTTGTTGGGTCACTGAGGTATTCAAGCCCGACTACCACGACAAGGTAGCAGTGGTCGGCCGGGAATCTTTAAAACTCGACTAAACAACAAGCTACACTTAGTGTTCACTAATGACTCGCACCTCTGCAAGAAAATGCATTACACATGTCACTCCCACGATAAAAGTGTACACAATCTCAGAAGCATGTTAACAGACAAAACTATGACTTATTTGGCTGAACAATTTCTACACGATACTATCACAAATGTAAATAAATTATCGAAAATTCTGTCTCGATATTTTGTCCCCCCTCTCAAAAAAAGAAACACTCTTCTTAAGATTTCACCCCATTTCTTCTCAACTGTGAAGAAACCTTCGCCGATACAAGAGCAAGTTATATCAAATGAAAAATAACCTTGGTGTATTGAAATAATAATAATAATAGAGGAGATTTGTAGCTCAGATGGATGATTTGCAATGAGTAGTGTGCTCTGAATAGCTGGTTGGGTTAGTTGAGGAGCTTTCGTCATCCCCCCTCCCGGTTGGTCAACATCCTCCTTCAGCGCAATTTTTAGCATAAAGTGAAATGATTAAAATTTCTTCATGAGTGATAGATAGAATTGCCTCTCCCAGTAACCATCTTTACATATGTATTGATCATTTTCTATCGAATCACAACACCAACAATGAACCATCATGAAAGAACACACGGAAATTCATCCTACCATAGATAAAAAAATATCTCTGAAATAACAGCTAGAATTATTGAAACCGTTTGTAAAAACAGTCAGTTCAATCACTTTATTCGACATTGTGCAAACCGAAAGACACATCCAACAGAAAAAGCAGATAAAATTAATATCATTTACAAAATAAATTCCATGTATGAACTGTAACAGACATTACATCGGTGGTTGAAATGGGTGTCCTCTTCGAATCAGAATCCAGGAATACAAATCAGCCGTGAATAGACATGATATATGTATATTCCTGTTTCATATCAATGCATAAAGATAATTATGGACATCACTTTGACAACTGGGATAATGTCGAAGTTTTAGACAGAGGAAACACCACCAAAAGTGTAGTCAGGGAATTCCTAGAAGCCTCGTACTCAAACGAATATGCAATTAACAAACATGTTAATATAGACCAAATCTACCAACTAGTAAAAAGTAGATCATGTGATGAAAATGTTTAAAATCCAAAAGTCAATAATAGAAATGATCAATACATATGTAAAGATGGTTACTGGGAGAGGCAATTCTATCTATCACTCATGAAGAAATTTTAATCATTTCAGTTTATGCTAAATATTGCGCTGAAGGGGGATGTTGTCCAGCCGGGAGGAGGGACGACGAAAGCTCCGCAACTAAACCAACCACCTCTGCAGAGAACGCTACTAATTGAAAATCTTGGTGTGTACAAAGCTTAACGTTTTAATCAAGTCAGAAAAACAGAAACCAAATATATAACTAAAATTCCTGTCATCCACAACCCCTCTACACACGTAACAACTCTTCACGGAAATTACTGCTGGAAAACAAATAAATATAATGACGCTTCTTTCTTTGATGCTGAGACAAGCTTAATAAGTCCTCCCATATTACCGTCGTCCATTAGATGTGATGATGTCACATGTCTTACAAAAATGAAAGGATTTATTGCTCTCCTGCTTTTAATACAAATGATGTTTACAATTACAGGTGACTAACCCACGTTGTTCACCTTTCATCTTTGGAATCCAAACCGTTTTGTGTAAGGAACAAGAAAATAAGCTGAGGCCTACAGGGATTGAATCGATTTTCTTAACTTGTTAACCAGTTGTCATTTCACTAGGTATATCCCCAGTGATTTATAGCCGTACATGTATAGACCCTCCTTAATAACAGATATGGAAGAATTATTTTCGACTATCTGTCAGCCAACTGTTCACTGATGACCTTTTGAGGCCAGCCCTATTTCAAACCACGTGCTAAATACAACCTCAAGTTCATTTTCAATCTACATCTTCTGAACACATGGCTACAACCCTATAGGTGAGAGTGAGAGAGTCTTTACAAGATTTCTCTTATAATTGAGAGGAACAAAGCTGTGAAAACATAAATGTATACATTTACTTGTCCAAATTCTCTTTCATTATACCATCTGGTCTTTTTGTCTTAGCACGTCTAAAAATGACTCACTGACCCTGTTCTACTACTTTGACCTGACAATCATTGCAGGCAAGGTATTAGATAAAATAAATTGTTTTGTTTTGAAGGCTCCACAGGGTTGATCCTCTAGCCGACAAAGCTTGTTTCTAATTGAGTTTGTGGTTGATTTGAATTCCAGCCACTTTTATTCCTGTCCACCATGTTAAGAATTCTCCGCTGTAAAGTTTCCGAGGTTCCTTCCTTATATGGAATTACTTATGGTGATTCAGATTCCTTATTTTTGGTGTTGTCTTGCGCATGTTTGACATACAAGTCGTCATTATTATTAATAATAATAAGGAATCAAATCATCAGCAGTAATTCCATACAACGAAGGAACCTCGGATATCACCTTACACAGAATTCTTAACAACGCAGACATGAATAAAAGTGGCTAGCATTCAAACCCCCAGACTAACTCGATCAGAATCAAGCTTTGTCGGTTAAGCGATCAATCCTGTGGAGCCTTTAAAACAAAACAATTTAATTTATCTAATCGCCTGCCTACGATGATTGTCAGGTAAAATACATAGGTCAAAGTGGTAGAACAGCGTCAGTCAGACTAGCCGAGCATAAAAACCTAGAAGCGAAATCTAGATTAGTTGACCCGAATAAGATAAGAAATCTAGAGAGTAGTTCAGCAGCTATCGCAAGCACCACATGCAATTACACACCACACAACCCTAAATTAGGCTGGATGGGATAAGATGACAGTTTTAAAATCTAATACAACTAACAGGATGGAGGAAATGAGAGATTGAAAACAGAAGATTTGTTTATCGAATCAACTGCAAATCAACACGTGTAGTAGGAATGATTCATCACCTGTCCACCTCAGATATCTGGAAAATTGTACTACCCCAATGACGACGACAAATAGGAGAGAACAAAGAAGACTAACTATAAAACTCAAGTTTCGAAGTCGTGTGAATATAATTGGTGATGTGTATGATTATGAACAGCAATAATGAATTGTGTGTGTTCGAGACTTTGTCATCCAGTAAATACTAATATTGTCTCACTCACTGACCGTGTGGTGATACACCTAATAAACAAACTAATATGATGTTCCCAAATGTCTACCGTGCTTCAAAAAATGCTCAGTCTTACGAGTCCAGATGATGTGCACGCTACTGACTACCCTCAGAAGGTGTGCGGATATCTTGTGTCATCTTCTCAGTAACATTTAAGTTGTCTTTGTGTCTAAATCATTAGCTGAACCATGGCGTTAAGTAAATACATACCGACTGTTATACACCTACCTCACTAATTGCTCACAAACAGAGTAGATGTACTTTAATTGTTGACATAGTTTTACAGCATTATATTTCTTACAGTATAGACAAACTGCTGAATATATATATATATATATATATATATATATATATATATATATATATATATTACGCATCTACCCTTGACAGTGTAACTAGTCCTCTTTTTGAGTGGTTACTCCTCAATTAGATGCTTTCAAAATTACCACCTTCTTATCAGAGATTAGTCAGCGATCCATGTTGAATGTTCTTAAGACTAAATGCCCCTCGAAATGTCAGAACACAAGACTGATTGATGTTAACAAGGCGACTTTCATGGTCATTCATTTACCTACCACATACCAACCAACGAATCTTAATTTCGCCTTAACACTAGTTCGACAACTAAATATTTCTGAGGCTGGCTGGCTGTTGGGATCCAGATTAACAAGCCTAATTTTTGCATCCAAGAGAAGTTGATTGGCTCAAACATTATCCTTACCCTCTTGGGGATCCATCCAGGTTTGAATGATCCTGAATTTTTCTAATTTTAGTTGATATTCTATTTCCTACTATATCTTATTATTATTATAATAATTTAAGCATCTTTAATGAACTACGGTGGTGATTCCATTGTGATCTTACTTTACAAATCGATATTACAATTTAAAAAGCACACGAATATTGTTATTGACTACTACGAATCTAAAATATTCTATGTATATATAAACATATGCATATATAGATATAATTGTAGAACAAGAAGAGGAGGAGGAGGAATTTATCGAAAAGGGGATATTCTTTGCTGGCTCAATCACATTTTGTGTTTCATGAATGTCAGTTGGTTAATTTCACTTTCAGAAATAAACGTGATCTGTAAAAATTCGTGCGTCTGCATGATTCCTCTATATTATGTGCGACATTGGAGTTGGAACTAAGTCGAATGTAAAATACCTCCGTTATATACGTCTTTCCTCCGATATCTTCACTGTTCTTCCCAGAGCATATTTCTCTCTCTCTCTCTCTAGAAAGATATTTAGTTTAAAGTCCTACAGAAGGAGGTTAAAACAGTCTGGTATCTATTCATTTTCATTAAGGGACGAAATTCTCTGGACTCTACTTCAAACTGTATCGACAAGTTCATCTGCAGCTGCAGTGACACCTATATAGGTCGCACCAACAGAATGTTCCAATGTGGTCGTCGAAAAGAACATGTTCCAAAATGGTCATTAAATCATATGGAAAATCCCAATGCGATTATTCTGAATAGAAATCTGGCATCATCCATTGCAAAACGCTTATTAATGTCAGGTTACAAAATCAATATTAATGACTGTTTCACAATTATTTGACATAACTCTAATTCAAGGTTATTGAAGGTGATGGAAGCAATTTGGATTATTCACATACAGCCTAAACTGTGTGTACAGTCGAAACACAAAAGACTTTAATCTTTGCCTACCATGGACTGACATGGATTTTTAACACGAATGTGAAGTCAGTCAAACTATGCGCAGGTCAAGAAAAAGACTTCCAACAGGTCAGCCACTGCAGCCTTCCATCAAGAACTGCGCTCCCCTCTCTCCATATTGATGGCGAAGATGGCCAGTGGAAAGAAATCCTAACAAGAAACTCTAACTGGCTGACAGTCAATCAACCAACCAACCAGCAAATAGCCGAGTGGGCGAAAAATGTGTAGGCGAATATGAAGATGGGTTGATCGGGTACAATGATAATAATAATGATAATAATAATTCTTGTTGACACTCTCGGTTAATTACTTCCACACTTACTGTGTAAATGTAGGGAATAACCTCGTTGACTTAGAATATGCAGACGATATAGTCCTTCTAGGCGAGGACGCTGGCAAAATAAAGCAGTCTCTTAAACACATTGAGTTGCAATCTACGAATGTTTGGCATGCGATTCGCTCCCGCCAAATGCAAAATGATGTTACAGGACTAACTGGACTACACTGACTCCTAGTTTAGAAATACGGAGTAAAGTGGTTAGTGGAGCACGTTGACCGCTTCGTTTATCCAAGAAGTGCCATCAACCCCAACGGGTTGATCACTGACTAAATCTCAGCTGAGTACGGATACAGAGGGCTCGTTTCGCATACGCCCGCCAGTTTACGCCGTCTCTGGCGCAGACGTGATATCCAACTACCGACCAAAAACCGGGTGTACTGCTCATTAGTCCGCTCCGTCCTCCTTTATGACAAGCTGTGAGACCTGGTCACTGAGAGCGGAAGGCATGAAAAGATTAGCTGTCATTGATCATGGGTGCCTGTGTTCTATCTCGCGTGTGAAGTGGTATAATAAGGTGAGCAATATTGAGGTTAGGTGTCGAGTTCTAGTTAATCAGAGGAAGTCAATCGACGAGGTTGTGAAGTTACATCGACTGAGATTGTTAAGACATGTGTTACGAGTGAATGCCTAGTCATCGCCTTCCTTGATGAGCAATGTTAGCTGATATATGGCCAGGCTGGAAAAGAGCTAGCGGCGGTCAAACAAAAACATGGAACCAGTCAATGAAATCTACAACAGTTAGTTTAAGTCACGTAGGAAGGTGTAGACTGGCTTCCTGACTGGTTGGGGTCCTCGGGACGGTAAAAGCCAATGGTTGGAACGTATTGGTGACATGGCTCAAAATCGTTCTGAATGGCTGGCTGATGCAGATGCATCCACTCCTTGTGACTTATGTTTTCCAATGAAACTGTTTTGTTCTTCGTTAATACTCTTTCTTTGTCTCACACCTCTGCTTACTGTCTCTATTATGCTTTTCTTGTAATTTCTTCTGTTGCTTTGTGTGCTACATGGAGGGAGTGTGGCGACTTGAACTTCCGCACATTTATGCAAGGTTCTATGTGTTGAAAACAGACAGACAGACAGACAGACAGGGAGGAAATTAGATAAAATATTGTGTGTACTGCATGTCATGAAAAACTGTTTACAAGAAAGTCATTAAACTCACATGCAACAGGTGTGCACTGTAATAATGGCGGTCGAGTTTGTCTGAAGGCAGGAACACCAGGGTTTGGCAATTCCTTATTCTGAATATGTTGCTGATGCTGGAGACTACGACGCTGGGAATCTTCTCCTTGTGCATTATTCTTTGCATCATCACCAACATCATCATTATCATTTCCAGGATTCCAGTGATGTTGCCCCATGATGCATGTGAAGTTTGAGGTTGAACAAATGAGACAGTAGTCGTGGTAGTGGTAGTAGTTGTAGCATCAGGGGGCGGTGTTTGGGGTGGTGGCGGGGGAGGAGGTGGGGGAGGAGGCGGCGGTGGTGGAGGGGGCGGCGGCGGCGGCGGCGGCGGAGGAGGTGGTGGTGGAGGCGGTGCTCTAGATGTGGTACTGTTCCGTGGGAAATACAAAGGCTGAGGTACAGCAACTGGCATCCGTATGACAGGTGCTGAAAATATTCAAATGAAAAGAGACAGAAGATATGCGCATGTGTATATACACACATGTGAAGTTGAAAAAAAAACAGAAAATTGCTAGAGAAATCTCATTTCATTTCAGCTCTACACCACAGTAGGCAACTACCGGTGTCGAACCCGAGACCGGTTACAAGTAAGCCGAGCAAGCTAGCTGGCTCGCATACCATTCAGCCACCACTCACTCACTTGGACCTGATTCCTCAATGGCCAGCCAAGGCATGAATTCTAACCTCTACCAATTCGTGATGCATTTAGCGCGACTGGCACCAACCAATCGGTGGTCATCGGTGGGACATACATCAACTCTCACACGCGACATCTGGATGGATGGGCATCACTGGTCACGACTTCTCACTAGAACAGACTGACTGCAGGAAACTCCATCCTGTAGCAAGTCAGTTACTAGCGAGCATCAGATTGGGGGTGTCGGACTAAATCACGAATTGGTAGAAGTTAGAATTCATGGGCTGGCTGGCCATTGAATCGCTGATGAAACAACTGGCTGTCCAGTACTCCTTGTGGTTGGTTTTCAATGGTTCTCTAACTGATATCAATCCGTGCGTGATCAACTCGTAAACACAAAACTAACCTTTATAAACCAAACTATAGAAAATTAAAACATTTAGCAGATTGGGACAGAGTAACGTGAATACTTAGACAACTGCTTTATAGTTAATGACAGAATGGCCCAAATAGATGAATCGTGCACCAGTTTCCAGTAGGTTCTACCACATACGCAGACGCCTTCACTACAGATCAGAGCAAAATCGGAGACACTGAAGACACATTGGAACTAACTTGCTTAAAATGATGTTCAACGGGGAACAGTGTACCCATCTTGTTTCAGAAACGTAGAAGCGGTGAGGAAAGGAATCATTCTCTACAAACGCCTGGGAAGTCAACAAATCAGAGGAGGATAGCAGGAAATCCCATCGGACTGGTGTAAGTCATTGATTATCCCGCTACACAACAAGGGAGATAAGTCTTCCTGTGATAATCATAAGGGGATTAGCTTGACTAATATGGTATCTAAGTTCTAGGCTCAATAATTATGCGTACACTAAGCGTTTATCGGGAGGAACATACACGAGAGAACCAGGTAGGCTTTAGACCAAGAGGAAGGTGTATTGATCATCTTTTCACACTTCGACACACTCTAGAACATAGGCATTCTTACCGTAGGCGTCCAACAATCGTTATATTTCTTGACGTAAAGGCGGGATTCAATCCCGTCGACCGAGAAGTACTCTGGCGATGTTTAGCTGTATGAGGAATGACGAGAAAACACATCGCACTGGTCAAGGCACCCTGCTCGCGTAGCCAGTCAGATGACAGCCTACAGAGTCGTCACCTGAGGTGCAGAAAACCAGTGGCGTCCGTCAGGGATGCCCAGGGTCCGCATTTCTGCTTAATTTCAACATAGATGTCCTAATGTACTTAACCCTGACTGACTTCAGCGACTCAGGTAGAGGTTGACTTTTTACGAGGGAGGGAATAATCTGGTTGACTAAGAATATACAGATGATTAAGTCCTGACTCCTAGGTGGAGACTCTGACCAAATGCAGACAAGGCCTTATGAACACTTTGAGAAGCAGCAATATTTGAATGATTCGCACGCGATTCGCTCCCGTCAGATACGAGATCGTGTTAATTACTGGAGTACATTGACTTCTAGCTTAGAGATAGGAAGTGAAGTGGTTGAGCGTGTTGACCACTTCACTTATTTAGGAAGTTGCATCAATGCTAACGGGTTGATAGCTGATGAAATCTCAGAACGAATACAGAAGACTCGTTTAGTATATGCCAACTTACGCAATCTCTGGCATAGACATGATATCTAGTCAGCTTTCGATCAAAAGGCAAGTGGTAATAGTATAAAACTTGGGCACTGTGTTGGAAGAGTATAACTCCATTATGGATAAGATTTTTTTTGATAAGCTGTCACACAGTGCAGTGTAGTGTTTGTTATACAGTAATATTAACTGATGCGACCACACGCCATTTCGAGCACAATTTATTATTATTGCCACTCATAATCATATCAAGTCATTCACTCACTCACACAACTTTTTTCGTTTCCTTCATTTATATATATGAGTGGAATTGATCAGACATTGGAATAAAAATCAGTAATATAGGATAATTTACATTCAGAAATAATAATAACAATAATATGAGTGTTATTCATCAATTACAATCAAATAGGAAATAAGACCAGTGTTCTTATTGTCATAATAAGTAACTTGTTAGAATTTTATTAATTTTTATTTTTTGATTACAGCTTGATTCCAAACCACATTTTTGGTACAAGTATGGAATTTTCAGCGTGGATATTGGTAGCCCAAATTTCGCAGGCCGACCATAGATATCAGGTGTGCGTCGGCAGGGGATCGAACAACGGACCATGTGCATGGTCGGCGAGAGTCCTAACCACTGTGCCACCGACGCACAGAAAAAAAGCCGGCAACACCCGGTATTTCCAGCCGGTCACCCATTCAAGTACTAACCGGGCCCAACGCTGCTTAACTTCGGTGATCGGACGAGAACCGGTGCTTTTAACGTGATATGCTTTTTTTTTATTTCCCAATGAAATACAATAAACCTTGATTATAATAATTATTTTTTAATAATTCCATTCCTTCACGTTCCCAGTGGAACATAGGGTGGTTTCAAGCCAGAGTCTTTAAGTTTCTGTAGCAGTGGTGTTTATTTTTACAAAATGGGGGGTTGCTAGCCTCATGCCCAGCCCAACCTTCTCTCGTTACTTTTTAATTTAATGTACTGGCTGAGTGAGGTAAAGGAGTGCGGCCCCAGTCGGGGTTCAAACCCAAGACCATATGCGGACCATGGTCGGTGAGCGTCCTAACCGCTGTGCCACCAACGCACGCATTCAGTTATAGACACATCACAATTAAAGGTTTGTATATTAGATCTCATTATTTTATGTGTAATATAGCATATCGTATTCCAGACAAATCCTGTGTTTTTGGATGTGAAGTCAGTCAGTGCTACTCACTATACGGATCAGAGACTTGACCAGCGTATCATTAGGAGCAACTCAAACAACTACTACGCACCTTCCATCAACAACTAGTTGTCTTCGCTCAATACCACTCAAGATCAGATGGCCAGCGGTCAGAAAAGATTAGAAATAAAGAGGGATCTCTGGAAATGAGTGAACCAACCTAGCACACCAGGAACCGATTGTGCAACAAAATATGCAGGAAGAAATGGAGTTAGGTGGATTGGATTGTGGTCATCCTCTGAGAAAACAAACCATCAAGTGAGTGACATCACTAGACAAGCCAATGCTCGAACCATTGCTTGCCATTGAAAACCGAACGCAATGGAGACGTCCGGTTAAAGCCCTATGCGCCTCTAGGAATTAAAGGAAATAATAATAACTTTACATATTGAATTTGTAGGGTGTATAAATATAAAAGTATATAATATTCTCGACATACCTCGTACTAAGGATAACATCATCGGTACAGTTTGGCTAACAACGACAGGTGACATTGAAATAGAAGTCGTTGAGCTGACAACTGCCGCGGGAGATACAACGACGATAGGTGGAAGAAACGTTGACCGCGAGGTATTCACTACTATCTGAGAAGTTGCTGGTGCTGGTGGAATTTGTGATTTCTTAGCCAATTTCGCATCTGGTGAATTCGTAAAGGATATTTTTTCAGTTTTATTATTATTATTATTATTATTATCACTACTAGTCGTCCTATTGGTATTGGTATTAGCATTATTCATGATAAACGCCTTAACTCTTGCATTATCCAGCGAATCTTCATCCACTTCAGCACAACCCTCCAGAAGATCATCAAATTGAGAACGTTGAAGTTTGAGAACCTCCTTCACGGGTAAATATGTACAACCTTCTTCTATATCCCAATAATTCGATAGATAATCTTCATTTGATTTGATGCCAAGATTTGGAGCCCATGCGACCTTGACCTGACGACCATTCATCGTCGATCGATCCATATAAACTACGGCACGATGTGCTGCTCGTCGAGTTGCAAAAGTGACAAATGCGCAACCTCGTGGTGGAATGAAATTACATTCCACCACTTGACCATCAGTTATTTCTGAACAAAGTGCACGAAGTCGAGATTCTGCTAGTTGTTTATGCAAGTGTCCTATGAACACAGTGTGTGATAAGATACCAACATGATTTGGTTTCAGTGCAGGCAGACCAAGGTGTTTGCGACGACGTTCACGATGTTTCACATCATATTCATTTAATGATGATGGTGATCCATGCTGAAATAATGAAAAACTGTCATCGTGACGTCGACGTATAAGATGAGGACTTTGTAGAGGTGATTCAGTGGTATTATCTTCAACAAAATTATCGGATGGATCATGGTCAATGTCTGATGTAGTATTGAGGAGTTTATGCGACTCTAAAAATCCGGATCGATGAGAATGACTAACCACCAGTCGGTCATCATATGAATCCAAGCTGTAAATGAGAAAAAAATTAGAACATTCAAAGTACTCCACTTAAACTGGCAATACACACTAATTTTTTTTTTGGATTTTCCACTACGAATTTTCCTTATAAATGTGTTACAAAATATTATTGAAACACTTTTGATCTGGTTGTGTTCTCTGAGCTAACTGGATAGTTAATTTGCGAAGCTTTCATTATTGCTCTACTAGGCAGGCAACATCTTCCTTCAGCGAATACTTCACTTCGAATCGAAGTGTATGCACGCTGAGGGATGATGTTGCCTGCCTAGTAGGGCAATAATGAAAGCTTCGCAAATTAACTATCCAGTTAGCTCAGAGAGAACACAACCAAATCGAAATCATCCACCTACCTGAGCTACAAATTTCTTTATCATATTTTTTGGGTAGTTGTTATCCAGTAGCATTTTGAATAGGACGTTTATTTGGTGTGTGTACATGGAAACAAAGTACATACACGGAATTACGCAAGGGTTTTAAGTAGTTAGAAAAAATAAGCATACAAACAAGCAAAAGTTAAGTCAAATCAACGGAGTTGTTATATCATGAGAGTAGAAGTGGTTGGATAATTTTCTTTTGTATGCATAGTTCTGCTTCTTCTAACTGAATGAATGGCTAGGGCTTCTGCGATGCAGAAAAGACAGAAACATATTTTTGTGTTTGGCAGGTTGTTTCTCACTTTGTAGATTACTTTGAAGCAGGAGGCGTTTGTTGTTGAAATGGAACGATCAGTGGTGTTGACGAGATGTTCGATTATTGCACTCCTTATACGGTGGCCACTACTTCCTTTCTACAGCCACGCTGGATAGTGTTCTTTGACCCTTGTTTTGACAGGATGCGCGTTGAACGACCGATGTACCTGGCTGGCTCCACAACAACAGGTGAACTGATATATACAAACACATAGAAGTGGTCAGGTGCGAGATCTTGTCCTTTGGGCTTCTGTAGATCAGTGGGTAGCTGGAGAACACTACTCTGAATGTTGCCGCAAAGAAAGTTCTTCTTCTTGTTTCTATGAACACACCCTGAGCACAACTCTTTCATCAAACTATTCATGTTATTGCCACGTAACTCTTCTTTAACAATTGTTTGTTTGGGGTTTTCTTGTCCTACTATAACACAATAGTTTTGTTTGAGCACACATACCATGTCGATACAAACATGATCTGCTTAAAGTTGGCTATTCGCTATTAGAAAGGTTACTGCAGCTGACAGTGGACAAACAACCTTAGGTGAGTGAAGTTCGGATGTGCATTTTTTTTTTGCTAATAACCTTATCCACAGACCAAAAAAGGCAACATGGCACGAAAAGCCTACTGCTGCTTTAAAACAGCCTTTATATCTACCTACCTACACGCTGTACTACTCATTCAATGTAAGTAAAATTCATGGAGGGGAATTTTCACACTAACCACGCTGTCTAACTGACTACCCTATAAACATTTATTCTGGCCAGTTCATCAATCTAAGGAAACACCTCATGGTGAATACAAACCAGACTAGGCATAACTAATATAAGAATAAAAACTTGTGCACTGTGATGGTAGAGTATAATTCCATTATGAGTAGAATTTGGTTTTCATAAAGTCTCACAGTCTTGTTATACAGTCGATGTTTACTGATGACCACGTTTCGAGTACATTTCCGCTATGAATGATGAGTCATTTTTATTGCATGTGTTGGGTGCAGACTCGATGAACCAGCCAGGATTCAGTAATCAACCTCCCTCTCTCTCTCTTCACCTACCTAGATTACTTCGTAGAATCTGAACAGTCTCCCAACATGCCATTGTGTGGTTGTGTATTATTGCATGCAGTGCAATGTAGTGCTGAGTACTTTATCCTAAATTACTTATCTTCTCGGGTAGGGTCAGCCATTCTTGCCTTAGCTGAACTGCACTCATTCTGCTATAGGCTATAATTCATTTCATCCGCTAACTGTAAAAGCAGGCACTAAGTAGTACAAAAACACACCTAAATGATGAAATCAAACAGACAGAGAGAAGAACCATTGGTGTTAAATAACTAACTATCCTATAAAATTCATTAGGAAGATCGAGAAAGGCCAAAAGCAAAATAAAAATAATTGTGAAACTAGTAGCGATAACATAAAGAAGAGAGAATATAAGACATCTACAACGGTTATACCATATAAGGAGGAGGCAACTGAGACACTCACTCCCTAAGTAGGATTTTTAATAAAGGATGAATTAGGGTGGTGCCATTCAAACCTGCAAACTCAATCAGGTAGGACAAGCTCTGTAGGTTACGTTAAAAGACCCTGTCGGTTGTCTCAATTAGACAAAATAATCCAATTTACAAAATACCTTGCAATGACTGTGAGTTAGGTCAACTACATAGGTGAAACAGAGTACTAGATCGGGGGTATTACCATTGCCACAGTTAGAACATAAAAATTTAGCTAAGGTAAGAATGGTTGACCCTAACCGAGAAGATAAGTGATTTAGAAAAATCTCAGCACTTGAATGCACTGCATGCATTAACAACACACAACTACAAAGTAACATGGTAGAGGAGGGTCGAAATTGTAAAAAGTAATCTAGGCAGGTGGAGAGAAGCATTGATTACTAATTCCTACCTGGTTCATTCAGTCTACAGCCAACACATGCAACAGAAATGACTCAATGAAAATACCAGAAATATGGAAGATAATATTGTCTGTCTGTTTTCAACACATAGAACCTTGCATAAATGTGCGGAAGTTCAAGTCGCCACACTCCCTCCATGTAGCACACAAAGCAACAGAAGAAATTACAAGAAAAGCATAATAGAGACAGTAAGCAGAGGTGTGAGACAAAGAAAGAGTATTAACGAAGAACAAAACAGTTTCATTGGAAAACATAAGTCACAAGGAGTGGATGCATCTGCATCAGCCAGCCATTCAGAACGATTTTGAGCCATGTCACCAATACGTTCCAACCATTGGCTTTTACCGTCCCGAGGACCCCAACCAGTCAGGAAGCCAGTCTACACCTTCCTACGTGACTTAAACTAACTGTTGTGGATTTCATTGACTGATGCCAAGTTTTTGTTTGACCACCACTAGCTAACTCTTTTCCAGCCTGACCCTATATCCGCTAACATTGCTCATCGAGGGAGGCGATGACTAGGCATTCACTCGTAACACATGTCTTAACAATCTCAGTCGATGTAACTTCACAACCTCGTCGATTGACTTCCTCTGATTAACTAGAACTCGACACCTAACCTCAATATTGCTCACCTTATTATACCACTTCACACGCGAGATAGAACACAGGCACCCATGATCAATGACAGCTAATCTTTTCATGCCTTCCGCTCTCAGTGACCAGGTCTCACAGCTTGTCATAAAGGAGGACGGAGCGGACTAATGAGCAGTACACCCGGTTTTTGGTCGGTAGTTGGATATCACGTCTGCGCCAGAGACGGCGTAAACTGGCGGGCGTATGCGAAACGAGCCCTCTGTATCCGTACTCAGCTGAGATTTAGTCAGTGATCAACCCGTTGGGGTTGATGGCACTTCTTGGATAAACGAAGCGGTCAACGTGCTCCACTAACCACTTTACTCCGTATTTCTAAACTAGGAGTCAGTGTAGTCCAGTTAGTCCTGTAACATCATTTTGCATTTGGCGGGAGCGAATCGCATGCCAAACATTCGTAAATTGCAACTCAATGTGTTTAAGAGACTGCTTTATTTTGCCAGCGTCCTCGCCTAGAAGGACTATATCGTCTGCATATTCTAAGTCAACGAGATTATCCCCTGGTAGCAAGTGAATCCCTGAGTCGCTGAAGTCACTTAGGGTTAAGTCCATTAACACATCTATGATGAAATTGATTAGAAATGGGGGTAATGGGCATCCTTGACGGACACAACTAGTTACTCACTTATTTTGACTATAAAAGAAGCACTCGTGTTATTTCCCATCTGATTATTGTAATTGATCACTCATAACACTCATATTATCATTATTTTTTTTGAATGTACATTATCCTATATTACTGATTCGTATTCAAATATCTAATCATCAATTCCACTCATGTATATAAATGAAGGAAACAAGGAAGTTGTGTGAGTGAGTGATTGAGTGACTTCATATGATTATGAGTGGCAATAATAATAAATTGTGCTCGAAATGGCGTGTGGTCGCATCAGTTAGTATTACTGTATAACAAACACCACACTGTGACAGACAGTTTATCAAAATAAAATCTTATGCATAATAATTTTTTCAAGGAATAGTATTCATATTACTGAATAATTAATATGAGTAGGTAAATGCTACTTACATAATTAAAATAGAAAATATAAAAAATAAAATTTACATTTACACGATAATTTCGAAATAAATAAACACCACGTACCGAGTGTATCTACGACATCGTTGGCCAGATGAAACATTCCAATCATCATCATCATAACCTTCATATTCTGAATTAAATCGATTCATATTTTCTTTTGATAGGTGATTGGGATCATCACTATTATTCCGTTGAGATGGAGACGAGTTCTCCTCTGACGGTATAATCATCCCACCATCTACTATTACACGACTACTACTAATTTCTCTATCATGATTATATGATGCTTGACGGGAATTGTGCAGAAAGTGTTTACGCGAGCCATGATAGGTATTCAAATCACGACATGTACCATCCATAGGCTGAAATGAAATTAATAACATAGTAATTATAATTCCATTATAGATAAGATTTTTATTTTGATAAATCGCACAGTGTTTACAGTTATATGAACTGTATGCGATTTATCAAAATAAAAATCTTATCTATAATGGAATTATACTCTACCACAGTGCCCAAGTTTTATACTTATATCAATAGTAATTATAATATAATACAATAACACCACAGTATACGTTGAATAGAGAACAAAGATAGTAATTTTGTTTTGTCCTAGTTCGGGACTCTTTATCAGTACACACCCACCATCCGGGTTCAAACCCAGGACTATTTGGTTACAAGGCAAGCTCGTAGACCATTAATCCACTGAGACTCAAAAAAAAACTAACCCTTACAAACCAAACTATAGAAAATTAATCTGATGCTCGCTAGTGACTTGCTACAGGACGGAGTTTCCTGGAGTCACTTCTGGTAAGAAGTCGTGACCAGTGAGGTGACGTGTGAGGATGGATGTCCCACCGACAACACTGATTAGTGCCAGTCGCGCTAAATGCATCACGAATTGGTAGAAGTTGGAATTCATCCCAGTGAGTAGCTGAATGGTATACGAGTCAGCTTGCCTTGTAACCGGAAGCTCCTGGGTTCGAACCCTCTGTGGTGTGTGCGTACTGCCGATGATTCTCAAACCAGGCTGATGAAACAGCTGGCTGTCCAGTATTCCCTGTGGCTGGTTTTCATTTCTTCTCTAACCGATATCAATGTGTGATCAGCTCGTAAAAACAAAACTAACCCTTACAAACCAAACTACAGAAAATTATATACATATATATTTTTTTCAAGTTCTAGTTATAATTAGAAATGGAGTATAATGTGTGTTGTCAATACTGATATAGTTGGGGGGGAGGGGAGGGGGAGAGAGCAGAGCCTTAGAATAATCGTTCAGCTACTACTATGATAGCTTAAAAAATTAGCGAAAAATAGCAACAACAACAACACTTAAAACTTGTAATAACTTAAGATAATAAATGTTAACCAGGTAATCCGAAGCACTAAGTGGGAAACGATGCACTCTGTGCTTCACCTGAGAAACCACCCTAACCTCCAGGACTATAGTGACGTTAGCCCAGTGACGATAAAGGTCGGTGTTACAACCAAAACTCAAGTGAGCCAGGTCTATACCTTGCACCAGTGTGAAACATGACCCCCCCCCCGAATTGAAAATATACAGTCACTACTCTGTCTATTTAACAACTGCTACTTCAGGAGAACGGCTGGCATCCACTGGCATCATTATACATACATATATGCAATTTCTGGTTCCAACGACGTGCGTTTGGACAACATAGTGGATCTCGTCTTTCAATAAGTGATGTGATTACATTCTACAAATCCTATAGTAGACACAGCATAAGCTACATAGATGATATGAGCGTGGGTTATATGGTTCTCATGACTCGCTTATATGACGACTGTGTATGGTTTTCTATAGTCTTCGTAGGCGTATAGAAGCTATTTGCATGCTAAACTGGTTGGCAGGGATAACGATTTCATTGAATTTGGTGGCTGCTGGCTTCGTTTTTAGGGACTTATTGTCACTATAGCGTCGCTATGCGTGCTACTTTTGCATACAATAATACTCGTTCGGCTAGTTTTGTATGCGAGATGAGTTCTTTTGGGCTTGTCTATGCAGTGCATAATTGATTGACGCGATCAGTGATCGGCGTAACAATGCTTACCTATGCATTACTATGTATACTAAGGGTGCGAGTGGTCCACCAAGGGAGAGAGCTCTTGAGTGGTTGCGCCACAGGATGATCCTGCATGCCGGTCTCGTCTCGCAAGAGGCAGGGATCGGTGTGTTTGGATCTCCTGAAAACCAATACCCAGTCAATGGGTGTATCACTGTATGAATAAACTGGCTGATCCTGCCAGTAGTCATATGTTTGTCTCAGACATTAAGCCATGCATGTCTAAGTACATTACCTAAAAACAGTGAAACCGCGAATAGCTCAACTTATCTCTTACCTTGGTCATTGGGCATTGAAAACGCCATAATGAAATAGTATGCGGATTTTGAGGATTAGCATCTTCTACCTTGGCAAAGTCACCTGTTCTGCCTGAACCACCTCCTTGAGAGCCAGAAATTGTAGGATTAACACTGCCTAAACTTGTTGTTGTCGTGAATGCCTGGGGCTGAGTTTTTGCCTGGGGTCCAACATGTCCAGCTGAATTGTCATCCACTGTTTGAGCTGTACTAATCGCAGGTATGTGAGCTGTGGTACTGGGCGAGTCTGTATCAGGTTGTTCTGCTGAATCCTGTGATCACAGAACTGGGTGGAGCGGGTTCGAATCTCGGAAGAGACACCAGTTCCTTCAGGGTTGCAGATACGCCTTGCTGACTGATGAGTGCCAAATAGTACGAAAACTAGGTCAGCTAAGGCTTCCTGTGGCCGATTGCCATCCAGTATCCCCAAATCAATGTGCACCATGATAGAGAGCTACCTAGTGGCATGGTGGCCGCATTGCAAACCTGACTGACTGATAGAATTCAGTCTCCACCAAAAAGGACTAGACACGTCAAACTAGTTACTAGTGTCGTCCAATGAAAATACCCACTACAGTCCTACAGGAGGTCAATCACGAACCCGAATAGCTAGCTTAGTGGTAACGTCTCTGACTGCAGTACTCCTCACTGGGTGACGCGAGCTCGAATCTCAGAAGGGACATGAGCTGCTTCTTCCATGTGGTTGCAGATACGCCTCGCTGACTGACTGATGAGTGCCAACTGGCACGGAACGTAGGTCCTGGCAAAGCTTCGTGTGGCCGATCGCCTCCAACTATCTAATACAATAGACCACTTTCAAAAATACAGTGAAAAGAGCACATAATGATTAGTCATCTTAGATACATCAGGACTAAATAATTTGACAGGAGATCAACTGACCCGAGATTCCAAGTGCCTTGAATCTGTTTTACTTGTCGGTCTGTTCCTTTCAGGCCAGTAAGATTTTCTTTCGTAAGCCTGTGCTACTGTCGACTCGTCTTCTACATCTGAGGAATACGGAGGCGTAGTAGGTCGAATTAACCGTTTGGAATCATTCCGTATAGAAATGTCTGTCTTAAGTTTGCCAGATGCGATATAGTTGTCTATACACTATAAAAACAAAAGCAGAAAAAACATTTGAAAATGATGTTTAGACAAAAAAATTAATTAATTAATTAGATGTACGTCAGACTTGACATACCCTACGACAGTGGATGTAATCAAAGTTCATTGTATTATTATCTGTATGCAGCAATCGTTGTTTAATGCTTAATATTACTTAAACTACAACGTCCCGGGACATGTCGAATCGAAAGAGAGCCCAATGTCTCTGAATAATAATAATAATAATAATAATAATAATAATAATAATAATAATAATAATAATAATAATTGGTTAGAGATGCATGAAAAACCAGCACTGGAGTACTGGACAGGTGTTCCGTCAGCCTAGTTTGGGACTCTTCACAGTACGCACCCAGCGCCAGTGTTCGAACCCAGAAACTTCTGATTACATGGCAAGCTCGTAGACCATTCGGGCATTGAGACCCAATCCAATGGCCGATGAGTTCTAAATTCTGCCAATCCATGATGTAGCGCAACCACTAGCCTGTCACCAATCAACCGAATCCCTACAAACGAATACTTGGATATCGATGAGATGCTCACTGGCGACTTGCCCTATTCAGGTAGGTAGTTACCTGGGTTCTAGTGGGAAGTCATGACCAGTAGGGTGCGGCAGGCGGTCGGGTGTGAGGACAAATACTCGCCGAAGACATTGGTTAGTGGTCGCGCTATGACGTCAATTGGCAGAAGTTTTTCAATAATAAAAATTTGCTTTATTCTAAAACAGTACTTGTGATACAGAATGGAATTCTCAGCATTTCCCTACAGTATTGCACCCAGTTAGTAAATTAACAATAAATAAAATTCTACATAGATTATAGGTAGTCTCAATTAGTTTTTGACAACAACATAGCATATCGGTCGGTAGCAAAGCCAAAAATTGAACAGAATGTTTGAAGGTGCTTAGAAAAGTAGATATACTGGCATATTTACTGGCGTAAGCGGTAACAAAAAGGTTAAGATATACAGGGTGTGAAAGAACGAAGAAGAATGTTTTAAGGAAGAGAGAAACAAAACAGCACATAAGAAAAAAAGAGAAAGAGAGAAAAGGAAAAGAAAGAAAACGTTGCACCTAAAAATGATATGAGTTGGAAAGACGAGATCCAATTATTTTGCTGATTATTTAATAAGTCACAAGTTAGAATTCATGGGCTAACTGGCCATTGGATCGGGTGCCAGCGGCTAAATGTTCTACGAACTAGCTCGCCTTGTAACCAGAAGGTCTTGGGTTCGGACCCTGGCGATGGGTGCGTACTGCTGAATAGCCGGTCCCAAACTAGGTTGACGAAACAGCTGTCTGTCCAGTACTCCCAGCTGGTTTTCCAATGGTCATCTAGCCAATGTCACCTCATGATGAAATCCTGTAACCAATAAATCAAATCGCTACAAAAAAATACTCACTATATTTATTGGTAAAGAGAGCTGAATTGTGTGTTTTGGATTGTTTCGTGGCAGATTATGTAATATAAGCTTTTGGGTGGTGGTGTTGAGCAGTGGACACTTAACCACTTTTCAACTACTAGTCATGGGTCTATTTGAGTTTTTAATCAATCAAAACAACTCACTGATTGCATAATCAGTTCGGCTATCAAACCACGTGGAAATATATCTACCAACTTCGTATTAACAGATAGATAATCTATGTTTCTGCCAATTCACTCATGACATAGCACGACCACTCCGCAATGTCTTCTTCGATGAGTGAGTTACTGCCTCATCTTCGACCTGCTGTACCATACTGGTCATGGCTTCCCACTAGAAACCCCAGGTTCTCAATGGCCTACGAGCTCGCCTTGTAACCAGAAGGTTCTGGGTTCAGACCCCAGTGTGTTCGTACTGCTGAAGACCCACGAACTAGGACGAAACAGTTGTCCAATACTTCCTGCAGGTTTTCCAGTTGTACTCTAACTGATGTCAAGCTCATGATGAAATCCTCCATGCAATCAAACAAAATCCCTACAAACCACCACATGAAAGATAATCTATATGTTAATATAGCATATCTAGGTTAAACCATCTCTTTTCAAAACTACTGCATTACACTCTTTGTTTGAGTAACACAATACAACAAAAAACATAAATATAATTGTGTTGAAAAAAGAGCTTCGTATGTAAAGAGATATCATATTACTATTATTTCCTTTAATTGCTAGAGAAACATAGGGCTTCAGCTGCACGTCTCCATTGCGTTTGCTTCTCTGCTTAAGTTTTCACCTGACTCCAAGTCTGTCCAGAAGATTTCATCTCCTCTTCACATCACCTCCTCCAATCCGTGTCACCCTCACGCTGACGACCAACTTTCCGCTTCCCCTTCGGTCGGGTTCCACATGAGCAATGGCTTGTCTAGTGATGTCACTCACCTGATGGGTTTTTTTCTCATAGTATGGCCAGCCATTCCGCCTCCATTTCCTCCTGCTTATTTGTTGCACAATCGGTTCCTGCTCGGTTGGTTAGCTCACTACCAGAGATCCCTGTTGCTGATCTCCCCTGGCCGACTATCTGATCTTGAGCGGAGTATTGAGCGAAGACAGCTAGCTCTTAATGAAGGTCTGAAGTTTGTTTGAGATGCTCTTTATGACGCGCTGGTCAAGTCTCTGATCCGTATAGTGAGTAACACTGACTGACTTCACACTGGAGTTGAAAATCCGGATCTTATTTTCATTTTCATGCTGAGTAGTGCTGTTGACCTTTACATATCATATCATATCATATAGCATTTAATATTTACTAGAGAAATGCGAAAATACAGAACAACTTATGACCCAATGAATTAAATGTGACTTTATATATACAGTAGAACTAACCCTCCTATCCATGCTTGTATCAGCTTCAGATTGCATAGTCATGCCGTTTGCAGAACGCAAAGTCTCCTTCTGGTGTGGTTGTTGTTGCCAAGGTTTTTGTTCATGTTCTGCAAGTGCTTCATTCAGCTGTTCTTGTAGTTCACGAGTATGCGCAAGTGTATCAACCATAGATTGTATACGTGCCAACAGATTGGGATCGATAACACTAAAGTAAGATGAAAATGGCAAATGGCAAAAAAGAGAATTAGAATAACAAGAAACTCTGCAGTGGAACAAAAACCAACCAACCAACCGAGCAAGAGCTGACCGCACAATACATATATGCAGGATTAAATGAAGATGGATTGATCGGGCACACATTAGGGCCGGCCGTCTAATGAGATCGCGCGCAATGCAGACCATCGCTTGAGTGGGTCGTCGGTGCTGGGTGGGTGACATAGAGGAGATAATGTGCGGAGACTACGAAAAGGCAACGACGGGTAGCACCCTCTTTCCTTCCTTTAACGGATCCATTCAGACGGACTGCACACATAGATCCAGTCAAGAAGTGATTGTTCCGCCCTAACACTCAGTGATATCCCTACACCTGCGAGTCCTCGCTAGCTAGCTGAGGGATCTCCTGACACCCTTAAAGTAAATTTCGCAGATTCACCTTGTTGACCGGGTGAGGTTAAATGAGTGACCACACTCGGGTCTTGTATGCGTGTCTCCGAAACATAACGTGCATCCATAACTCAAGATCCCAGAGTTCTTGCTAGTGATGCCTGTCGTCCGATTTGGCAGATGGTTCCCTGACGTTAAATGCTCCTATTTGAAGTTAAACGGCGTGTCTTTAAAAAGGTTATATGGGGTGTTTCTATCTGATATGTATCCACATATATATATTTATGTGTGTGTGTGTATGTTGGTCTCTCTTTCTGTTTGCTCGCTTAGTCTGTGACCGTTTCACTTGTATGAACCTGTCTGCTTTAACAATGTGTATTCCATTTATATTATATATAATATGAGTGTTTGTTGACAGTCCGTTGCTTAGTGACATATATCCATATATGGTTGTTTGACATGTCTGCTATATACATTTTGTTATATATATATATTTCGTTCACACATTCTGTGTGAACTACTTTACTTACTTACCACTTTGGTGTGAGACCATTTTATTTTCGTCTCCTTGTGTTTGGACAATAGAAGTATCATCGCAAACCTAGTGGTCTTCTGATTTCCACCTTCTCGCGTCAGGACTATTAGTTTCTCGACCAGTCCATAACAATAATTTAGCGACGAGTACATAACAATTTGGCGACGGGGAAAACTAGTACATAACACTATCGTTATCCCTCACCGTTATTTGTGGCCACAGAGTGAAGTGAAGGTGACTCACTAACCTGGAGAATAGTACTAACTGTAGTTGGGGAATAAGATGATAAAGGTGATGTGGGTAGAGGAGAATGATACTCGGGAAGGCTTCGTGTACTTTTGAAAGTGTGTGGGCAGTTGTTACTTCCCGTGTGCCCACACCACTGTGGAAGCTGGTTGATTCTTCGGGTACCTGAAACACCAGAGAGGGTTAGTGTTGCGTCGTGACCGCAGAGCCCAGGGGACACAACTGCTTGAGCCAGGCCGGTCACATACGGCCTGTATGAACTGGTTTCTTGGTTTGGTTCCGTATTAGTAAACTTACCGCCGGTTACAGACCATCGTAGGTGAGGTAAGTCGGGATGTACAATTTCCGGGATTGACCTTTTCTTACCCCCTCTCTCCAGAAGAGTGGAGAGACAGCATGCCTGGCTGGCACGCTGGTCATCTGAGGGAAACACCTCACTGCTGTTATACCCGTGTTCCCTAGCAGTACGACTTCGCCCACAGACCCTCTGCATAGTGTAAAAAAGAGTTTTTGCACTATTCTGGCAACTGATTTTAGTCTAATCGCTATCCTAACAACCTTCTTGGCATGGTAGGACCTGCAGGAACAGTGGTTCCAGCCAATGTAGCTTGTTGGGTCATCGCGATATGCAAGTCCGGCGACCACCACACTAATGTAGCAGCTATCGGTCGGGCCACTAGAAACCAAGGGAACAATAATAATAACAATAAGAATAAATAATATCAAACAAATTGGATGGTTTAACAAATAGAAAGAACAGTAGACTTATCGTCATTATTATATTCGATCGCCTTAACCTCCCACCCACTCACCTCCACCCTATATTTTAACCGCACGTGAAATGTCGTATAACTACCACTAATATTACATAATTAAGCCTTAGATACTTAATTGTTTATCAAGACAGTGACGACATGAACCTTAATTTTTATAAGGAAAGAAAGACATACACATTATTAGCATCATTAAGACAAAAAAGATTATATTAATGTGTGTCCTTTTGATGAACACGATATGAAGCGTATATAAAACCATCCAATTATACTTCATGCAATTCTCTTCCCGTTAATAAACTTGAAAAAAGCAAGAAAAAAAAACAATTGTACCAGAAGATAATATGAGCTCATCTTTTATTATTATTATTTCGAGGATTCTTCTCAACTGGTTACATTCTGAATTACATTAAAAGATTTGAATGGGTCCGATTGACTCAATGGTCTACGAGCTAGTTCACTAGCCTTGTAACCACAAGGTCCTGGGTTCGAACCCTGTGGTTGTTGAGTACTGCTGAAGAGTTCTAAACTAGGTTGATGAAGCAGCTGTCCACTACCCCCAGGTTTTGCGAGTCGGTGGCACAGCGGCGGTTAGGATGCTCGCCAACCATGCACATGGTCCGGGGTTCGAATCCCGCTCGCCGACACACTCCTTTGCCTCACTAAGCCAGAAATAATGCTGGTAAAGAGAAAAGGTTGGGCATGAGGCTGGCTAGCAATCCCATCCTGTAAAAATAATCACCACCACTGCTACAGCAATCTTGAGGTACTATGTTCCACTGGGAACGTGAAGGAAATAAAAAAAATATAAAATTTGAACATCCTTTTTTCCACGATCACATGGAGTACTTGGTGGGTGGGAAGTAAAAGTAACATTAGACCGGATTGATTTAACTACTTTAGAGTTACAGATACACTGACTATTTATAGAATAATTGGACAATATTAGGCTTGGAAACAAAAAGAACAGAGTTGCGTATATATATATATATATATGGAGAGAGAAACAAGGTCTAGCTAGAACGAGCATAACAAAAACGTAGATTACGTAACTAAAGAAAAAATTTCATCTAACAGCCAATAGAAAAAAGGAAAGAAAACAAACAAGGTAGGGTGAGTCATGTTTAGATGAGAGAGTAGAGTTTTCTGAACAACAAAAAGGGTGACTCATAACAGCTGTATATTTCAGGATTTCAACATGAGCTGACATTATTTAGGGAACCATTGGAAAGCCTGGGAGTACTGGAAAGCTGTTTCGTCCTAGTTTGGAACTCTTCATCAGTGCGCACCCATCGGGATTCGAACCCAGGACCTTCTGGTTACATGGCGAGCTCGTATACCATTAAGCCACTGGGACCCGATCCAATGGTCCTTGAATTCTAACTTCTGCCAATTCACGACATAGCGCAACCGCTAGCTTATGTCTTCGGCGACTATTTGTATATTTGTATATTTTTTTGTAATCACCAGGGCAGTGCAAGATTCACCAGTCTCTTTCTGTGTATATAGATTTGGTTGAAGTCGTTTGCGATAGCAATTGCTTCACCAAAGCGTAACAAGCTAGGTTTCTTTTGCTTGTTGATTATTTTTAACGACTTCAAGTTGACTTCTACAATATGACCAGTGTCCAATAGATGAGGCGCCATCGCACTGTTTAATGCTTCCCTTTCAGTCTCAGCTTCTTTTTGGTGCAAGTGTTCAGAAATGCGGACAATCACCCTTCTCTATCTTATTCTTTGGCACGGACAACATATAAATTGGTAGACACAATTGGAGGTAACATGAGGTGGGTATTAGTACACTTTTGATTATCTCAAATACATACAAGATTGGCTGTTGGATATGTTCTATTCAGGGCAGCGTTCAGTCTCCATCTTATTCCACTAGCAGTATGCATCACCTTTGAATGCATGCAAGCTGCAGAAAGAAAGGCTGTTTCTCTACTGTGCTGCTTTACACTTTTACAAAATGACGTCTCCCACACTTTTCGATGAACTATTGTGGGTAACTGTTCTCAAGCAGGCATTTCGGCTTTCTATACACACATTTATATACGAAACTCTGGTCTTTCTTTTTACAAGCCTAATTGTCTAATTATTCTATAAACAATCAGTATGTCTGTAACTTACTTCAATCTTTACGGAATAAAGTTACCTTTACTTCCTACCAACCAAATACAATTCGAAATAAGAATAAAACTTGTGCACTGTGGTACAGTATAATTTCATTGTCGGTAAATTTCAAAAAGTCTCACAGTGTTATACAGTAATGTTTACTGATGACGTTTAGAGCACAATTTATTGCTCATAATCATATCAAGGTACTCACACGACTTCCTAACTTCATTTATATAGTTCCATTATTTTTCACTTGATTTGACTGGCAGTAGTATTTTTCATATTTCAGGTATGAGTGATGAGTCATTCCTATTCCATGTGTTTGGTGTAGACTCGATGAACTAGGATTCAGTAATCAACCTCTCTCCACCTATCTAGATTACTTTTTAGGATCTTAACCCTCTCCCACCATGCTATTGTGTGGTTGTGTGTTAATGCATGCATTGCAATTGCTGAGTTTTTTTCTAAATTATTTGTCTTTTCAAGGTCAACCATTCTTACCTTCGCTAAATTCTTATGTTCTGACAATCTGACTACGCCTGACCTATTAGTTTGACCTATGTAGTTGACCTCACAGTCATTGCAGGATATTTTGTAAATTATATTAATTTGTCTAATTGGGTCAACTGGGTCCTTAAACCTACACAGCTTGTCCGAGCTGAGTGAGTTTGTAGGTTTAAATGCCACCAACCTAATTCCTGCTTTATTTACAATCCTACGTAGGGTCTCAGATGTCCCCTCTTTATATGGTATAACTGTAGATGACTTATACTCTCTCTTATTTATGTTATTATTAATAGTTTCACAATTATTTTTATTTTTCGTTTGGCCTTTTTCGATCTTCCTAATGAATTTAACACCAAAGCCTCTTCTATCTGTTTTAGTTCATTTAGGTCTTTTCTTGCGCTACTTAGTGCTACTCCTCAGTTTG